CCCAAGTCTGAGAAGGAGGAGGAGACAACGAAGACTGAGAACGAGGGAAAACAGCGGGAGAGGGGTCAGGAGGAGGAAGCGGAGGACCAGAGACGGGAGGAGAGGGGGAGGAGGAAGGAGAGGGAGAGGGGAGACCAAGGGTCCGAAGACCCGAGACAGGAGGAGGAGACGGCAGCTGCTGCTGCTGCGGCTGCTGCGGCTGCTGCTGCTCCAGCGGCTGCTGCCCCTGCTGCTGCTCCTGCTGCTGTCGCTCCTGCTCCTCGAGCCGCTGCAACTCTCTCTCCTCTCTCTCCAACTCCAGCTGCTCCTCACGAGCACGGCGAACACGAGCCTGGAACCTGGTCGGGTAGGGGTGGGGGGAAGGAGTAGTGTCCGGGGCAGCGGCAGCCCCAGAGTCGACCTCCGAAGCACCAAGTACACCACCCCCAGAGGCAGCACCAACACCAGCTCCAGACCCAGGCTCTCTAGAAACCGAAGGGACACCCTCACCCCCAGACGCAGCACCCCCAGACTCCGCACCAGCACCCCCAGACTCCGCACGACCAGTACCAGCCCCCGGAAGACAAGAGTCCTCTGCAACCCGCGGCTCAGCTCCAACTCCAGCACCCCCAGAACCAGAGACCTGTACAGGGACAGTCGCAGGACCAACCTCCCGAGAGGGAGCACCTGCAGGAGGCGGCAAGGAAGACTGTGGGGAGGGAGGCTGTACAGGGGGGGCTACCGAAGGGGGAGGGCTAGCCTGAGACACACCAGACGGGGCTGGACCAGGGGGGGGAGGCTGTACCGGGGGAGCAGGCGGGGGAGCGGCGGTCAGGAAGAGAGGGGGGGGAGGGACCGGGAGACCTCGACTGGGGTACCTGACGTAGTAGGGGGTGGACTCCTCGAAACGGACGTCACGGGAGTCAAAGAACCGGTGAGAGGGAGGGTGGTAAAAGGTGAAGTCAGAGGAGTCCTCAGGGAAACCAAGGAAGACACAAGGAACGGCGCGAGGCGAGAGCTTGTCCGCGGAGGTGTCGCGGACAAGAGCCAAGCACCCCCAGACACGAAACCTCGACGCGACACCAGGGGACCCTGTCCAAAGACTGGTCGGTGAAGCCTCCGGCCGAGAGACGCGTGGCCAGAGGTTCAGCTGGTGCGCGGCGTACCTGACCGCGTATGGCCACAGGAAATGGGGGGCACGGGCGTGAGTCAAGGAGGTGCGGGCAATCTCCATGACCAGGCCTATGCGACGCTCAGCAACCCCATTCTGCTGTGGGGACTCCGGAAGCGTCCAGGACTGACGAATGCCCTGTTCGCGACAGAATCCAGCGAGAATGCCGGAGCGAAACTCGCCCCCGCGGTCGGAGTGGAGACAGCTGACACGACGACCACGAGTGTCCTGGGTGGTAAGCAACCACCTGATCAGCGTAGAAGTCACCTCAGACTTCCTCGCCAGGGGGAACACTGTGGTGTAGCGGGAGTAGTCGTCAACGACCACCAAAAAGAAACGCTCACGCTCAGGGCCAGGGCGAGGAGAGGGGCCCCAGACGTCCAAGTGCAGCGTCTCAAAAGGCTCGGTGGCCGGACGAAGGGAGGAGTGAGGGGTGGCGCGCAGCCTACCCTCGACGCAAGGACCGCACGGTGGTGCAAGGGACGGCGGCAGCGACGGCAAGACACGCGGGAGACCTAAGACAAGACGCTGACGAGACATAGCGCGAAGACGAGGAGGAGAAGGGTGCCCCAGCCGGTGGTGCCACAAAACGGTGGGGTGGGCAAGCGACCGACAGGAGCACGACGCAGCGACCGGACTAGACGGAGGAACCTGACAAGACACAGCTACCTGGGGGGACGGAGCAACCTGGTGAGACGCGAGGACTCGAACGGGAGGCAAAACAGGGGCCGGGGGCAGGAGGGGCGGCTGTGGCTGCGGCTGCGGCTGCTGCCGCTGCTGCTGCTGCGGCTGCTGCTGCTGCGGCTGCTGCTGCTGCTGCTGCAGTCGCTGCTGAGCGCGCGGGCGAGTGTGAAGAGTGTAGAGACCGGAGCCCGGCTCAGCAGCAAAAGTGGCGAGGGGCTGGTAAGAGTCCCCGTCAACACACACCGCAGTCTCTCCAGAAGGCTCAAACCACACACCCACGTGCTGACTCACGAGGGGTCGCACGCCCACCAAGTTCCGGGAGAACGAGGGGACGTGAAACCCAGTGAGAGACCCAGAAGGAGCAGCCGGACATGGCAAGGTGGTAGTGTGACGCGCGGTGACTGGTCCCGAAGTGGGATCAGCCAGCGCCACAGAAACAGGCGCAGGAAGAGGCGTAAGTGTCGTGCTGTCACGAAAGAAGCAGTGAGAAGCTCCAGAGTCCAGCGTGAACGACAGCGAACCGTCCTCTGAGGTAGCCGCTGGACTAGAGTCTACACAAGAACCTACACTAGCAACAGGCAACTGAGCAAGGCTAGCACCTAAGCTAACAACACCAGAGTAAGCAGAGTCAGAAACACTAGAGTCAACAACAGCATACATAGCATGGGGATTACCAATCAGATCAACTAACTGCTCAGCAGACATGCCCCACAGAGCGGAGCCGTAGCGCTGAACAAGAGGCAGCCAGTCAGGGGCAGGAGCACCAACCCCGTAGACCAAACGAACCGTGTCAGTGAGCTGAGCAAAGCACTGACCAGGGGGGTGAAACCGGCCACAAGGGTGGCCACGACGAGGGCCTGTCAGAACCTGGTAGGTGCAGGGAGTGTAAGCAGCACCGCGCTGGGTCTGACGCAGCCCCGACCCTGGAGCCAGCTGCTGCCGCTGCTGCTGCTGAGGCTGCTGGGAGGAGAGGGGCTGCTGGTGCTGCAGAAGCTGCTGCTGACGCTGAGCCTGGTACCACGCCGCTGCTCCACCAACCGGGGCAGGAAGTACAGGAGGCGACTGACGAACTCGGGCGTCGCCACCACCAGCAGGCGCAGTGGAGTCACCAGTCACTGCACGAGGCGCCTCTCCAGGCCCTGAACCTCCACCGCCGCCAGGCGCAACGCCACCTCCACTACCTCCGCCTCCACCTCCACTACCACCACCAGAACCGCCTTTCTTGCCACTCCTACCGCGGGACCGCGACGCAGTCGTAACAGCAGCTGCAGTCGCGTCAGTAGCGGCAGTGGCAAGTGAGGCAGTAAAGGTGGGTAACTGCGGGACTGTGCACCCGTGGAAGAGTGGGGGGGGCACAGCACCAGAGGCAGCGGCTACCGAGCGAAGGTTGCTCTCGACGTCCTTGAGTGCAGACTCAAGAACCTCGACGGTGAGCTCACTAGGGTGCTTCAGCAGAAGCGCGTCGCGAACGGAGGCAAGGCGGTCAGGGAGGCTAGTGGCGATGAAATAGATAGTAATCGCCATAGGGGGAGGAAGCAGTGCAAGCTGTGCCTCAGTGCAAGCAGCGCGGTAACTAGCGTCGAGCGAGCGGAGGTGAGCGATCAAGTCAGCAGAGCGCTCAAAAGACGCTAGGTCAGGAAACAGGAACGGGAGGAACAGGCGGCCAAGAGAGACAGCAGCGGGAGTAGAGTAGCGGGCCTTAATCGCAGTGAGGTACGCAGCAGCGGTGCGAACCTGAGTGAAGTGAACCTCCTCAGACTCAGGGAGGAGGCTGCTGAGCGCGATGCAGGCCGCAGCGTCACGTGACGTCCAAGCCGTCTGGTCAGCTCGCTGAGTGGCAAAGCGGGCTCTAGCGGCGTCGTCAGGGGCAGGTCCTAAAGGCGTAGGGTCGGGGGGCGCAGGTAGGGCACCAGTAGCGTGCGCCCAGAGGGTCTCGCCTGCCTGGACCTGACTCTCTAACAGGCGGCGAGCGCGAAGAAGCCAGACTGGGAAATCGAGCGGGCGACCGTCAGCATCGAAACGAAGGACGCGAGGGGTCGCCATAGTGTGCAAACGGAATTGGCAGGGAAAGCAGGGCGCAGCGGCAAGGGAGAACGGGCAGGAAGAGCGGGCAAGAGCGGGCGGGTAGGTCAGGGTAGGGCAAAGGCGCCGGGCCTGGGCGACGGGCTAGGGCGCGAGCCAGGGCGACGGGCTAGGGCGCGAGCTGGGGAGACGGGCTGGGGCGCGGGCCAGGGCGACGGTCAGGTGTGCGCGCGCGCGGGTAGGGCAAAGGCGCCGGGCCTGGGCGACGGGCTAGGGCGCGAGCCAGGGCGACGGGCTAGGGCGCGAGCTGGGGAGACGGGCTGGGGCGCGGGCCAGGGCGACGGATCGACGGGCAGCAGGGGGAAACGCGGGTCGACAGGCAGCGGGGGGAAGCGCGGGTCGACGGGCAGCGGGGGGAAGCGCGGGTCGACGGGCGGCGGGGGAAGCGCGGGTCGACGGGCAGCGGGGGGAAGCGCGGGTCGACGGGCAGCGGGGGGAAGCGCGGGTCGACGGGCAGCGGGGGGAAGCGCGGGTCGACGGGCAGCGGGGGGAAGCGCGGGTCGACGGGCAGCGGGGGGAAGCGCGGGTCGACGGGCAGCGGGGGGAAGCGCGGGTCGACGGGCAGCGGGGGGAAGCGCGGGTCGACGGGCAGCGGGGGAAGCGGGTCGACGGGCAGGGGGGGGGGGGGGGGGGGGGGGGGGGGGGGGGGGGGGGGGGGGGGGGGGGGGGGGGGGGGGGGGGGGGGGAAGCGCGGTTCGACGGCAGCGGGGGGGAAGCGCGCCTCGACGGGCATCAGGGGGGGAAAGCGCAGCGCGACCGGCAGCGGTACGCTAGATCGGGCTACGCTAGATCGGGAGGAAGAACGAGCGGTAACGAACGAACGGGACTAGATCGGGCCGGCACTAGGCTCGGGCAAGACGGGCGAAACGAGAGCTAGGATCAGGCTCGGGTGGTACGATCGGAGAACGGAGAAACGGGATCCCACAGGATCCTAACCTAACTGATACCATGTCAGAATGAGGAATGAATGATGCATTGATGTTGGTTGGGGTACATATAGCTAACCCTAAGTTTTGTACCCCCTAAGACAAACCTCACTATAGGCTACAACATTTGACAGGTACAACCGGCCATCATACTTTCCTTAGAACCGTCCTTTGTACCGGAACATGTGCGCCTCGTCCTTGTCAACACAGTACCCCTCCATCAGCTTCTTGTTCACACTGTTCATCTTCTCCCTAACATTCTTCGGCTGCTTCTTTTTTACGTATCGGGTATCATACCGAGTTCGTAGTCCGCTCTTGGCCTGCCTCACATGCTTGAGCGGCCCATTGTTCACAGGCACCCCTTTCCTGTGCCAGTAGAAGGAGCGGTCCACCACACAGTAGAGCGCCAGGGCGGGGTAGTCCTGCCGCAGTGCAGCCAGTGTGGCGGCGTCACACGCCTTGCTGGATGGGAAGAAAAGGAAGCGCAGATTCGGAGCGCCAATGGAAGGCGGCTTGGCGAAGGCCTTCTTTTTCTTCTGCTTGCGGCCTCTTCCCCCTCTTCCTCCATAACCCCTCCCCTCGTACTCGGCATCATCATCATCATCCTCCTCATCCTCCTCTTCCTCTTCATCCTCCTCATCCTCCTCGTCATCATAACACCCACCAAAGCCACCGTCCTCATCCAGATCATCATCATACTCCCCATCATCCCTGAACGCCCTGCAATTCTCCACAGTTGCCTCCCAGTCCTCATTGTGCGGCCCATCCGCGTGCATGACAATCCCAAGGCTGCGCAGGTTCCTCCACACCACACCCACCTCGTGGATCGGAATCCCGTGCCTCACTACAAGCACCTCCACGTTTTGCGCTATAGTGCGCAGCCATTTGGTCCAAGAAAAGCTGGAAATGCCGTATGGAACGTGCTGCCATTCGAGAGGCAGCTGGTAAGAGATCCCAGGGCAGCTGGATTCCTCATCACAGGCCGGCCCGTTGAGGTACACGGCTCGCGCAGATGCGATACGGAGGGAGGAGATTATGAGCCGCTCCTGGCCGTACAACGAGAGGTGATCGAGAGCGAGAGGGGAGCTGCTCTTGCAAGAGAGCACGAGCCACTTGGCCATCACTGAGAGGGTCTTGAGAGCGGGCGAGACGGTGAGTGTGAGCTTGAGCTCGTTGCTGGCGAAGCGGAAGCGGAGGAGGCGGGCGTTGGGCAAGGAGAATTTCATGCTGTGGGAGCCAAAGAGGGGCCCACGGGAGAGGTGATAGTGCTGGTAGAGCGTGAACTCGTGCAGCTGCGGTGTGATGGAATCCAAATATTCGAAGCTCAAGAGGCTGGTGTCCACGTGCTTCAGAGTCAGGCAACGAATCGACCTCAGCCAGGATGCATTTGCACAGCTCTCATCAAGGTCCCACATGCCGCAGCCCAGCTTCAGGTGCTGCAGGCGTGAGCAGTTTTTCAGGAAGCTGAGGGTCCAGTCCTTATACTCCTGCTCCTCGTCGCTGTCTACAAACCCACGAAGCTTGATGCTGAAGGAGGAGAGGGAGGGGCTGCAGCGAGCGATCAAGGGGCGGAGGGAGCGGAGCTGCTGCACGTCTGTGAAGATGAGGTCGAGGGAGGTGATGTGCTGGCCATGACGGGTGAGGAAGTAGTGAATGGTCTTCTGCCAGCGCTCATCCTCGTACACGAGGGAGATGGGTTGTTGTTCTTGCACCAAATGAAGACGGGACATATTCGATTCTGAGAACTTAATTTGCGAGTTTTAAGATAATTTCGTGATGTCTGTTGCATGTCCAAGGTGTACATGCGTGTTGGGCAGAAGCATGCATATATGGAGAGACTAAAATGCTTTTTGTGAGGTTTCATTGTGGATCACGGATAGCTGCGAGAAACAGTGAGGAACTCATACAACTTGAGGAAAGAAATGAGCTGATTGAAGAAACACGACGAAAAGTTTTGAGAACTTACCGTGAAGGAGAGGACATGCTGGAGAAGCCTCTTGCTGGCGAGAGCACAGCAGAGCAGAGGCCAAGATGAGCCATAGCTTCTGACATTGATATCATACTGGTCGCTAGCGGAGGAATGATGGTGAATAAACATTTTCTTGAACTCCCGGTTGTCCGGTTCTTTCTTCGAAAAGTCACGTCTTGGGTTGAACAATCGCGAGGCGGCTTCGGTTTTGTCCGCTTGGGGTGGCTGCAGGAGACCGAGGAAGATTTTGTGCCAGAGGCGAGCTGGCAGCATGTTGACCACATCTCCGCGGGTGGTGGCTGAAGGATGAAACGGATGGGGTGTGAAAATTAGGAGGGATAAGGAAATGAATAAGAAAAAAGCAAGAACGGTTTGTGAAGCCTTACAGTGGCCTTTGGTGGAAGAAAAGACAGTAATCGGCATGAAACCAGTAAGGGAGAATGGGAGTCACGCTCGCAGCAGGGAGAGCGCAAGAGGACGGAGTGACAACTTGAGAAAGAGTAACTCATTCATACGCGAAGAACCAGTAGAGTGAAGCTCTAGAGGACGGACCGGACTGCATTGAAGTGACACGATAGATAGGCGGCAGAGTATGGGATTCGTGCGAAGAAATAGGACGGAAGCCTAGAGTTCTTGCTGCTCTCCCTATGCAAGTGCTCCAAACTTGAGCTCTAAGCACCTGCTGCACCTTAGTAATCGTTTCCTTCCCATTATCTTGAAAAGCACTACAAATTTGTAGCTATCGATGGTCCCGACATTTGTGGGAAATGGGCTTTCAAACGCATTCAAACGCATCAGGTTAGACTGATATTTGTGAGTTTTCACTAGCAGTGGCTTCGCGAGCACGAACCTGGATATTCAATCTATCTATGCTGGATCTTTTCGTCGTCAGAGGGAATGATATTGCAGTGGCTGGTAGCCGTTGAAACGCAACAATCTCTTCACATTCTTCGCGCCCACTGGTGATGGGAATGGCAGTCCCGACTCCCGAGATTCCTGTCTAGAGGAATGCTGCTGAGCATGTGATGTTCCCAAGAACGCTGAATGTGATGTTCCCACGAATGCTGGGCTGACAACGCTGCCCAACGCTGCAGGGTTTCAAATTTCAGACCAGGCGGGAATCTGAAATTCGCTGGTAGTAGTGCCTGGAGGGCTAGGACGTAATCTCAGAAAGCTGACTCACGGGATGAAATTTGACAGGAGGTTTGTGGTGTGGTTCTTCCAGGAACACTATCTGCCAGACGGGCAAATCTGTCCCGTTAGAACAGGCTCTAGCTGGATAAGGGATTGATTCGTTCTGAATGCTTCGCAACAAGGATGACGCATCGACAGAACACATTCTTTTTCTCCGCTAAGCTTGATATCACTACCAAACAATTACGTAATACCTTCGCTTACTTCTATGTGCTTTTATGCGTTGCTATATTCCATCCAGTGCCTCAAGCCGCACACTACGTTGGGCACAATTTATCAACCAACTACCTCTCCGCCATGGATTCTGCCATAACTTCGGACCGCGCAATGTCATGCAATTTCTTGCCTGATGGCACATTTCTTGTTACCTTAGAGTTCGTCTCGACAAGAGTTTTAAGAGGATGCCTTTCTTGTGTTCACACGTCGAACATTGGTGACTCTTGCCTGGTCGCAGCAACTCTCAAGGTCTTCGCCAGATGGCCGCTGCTAAGCGTTTTAAGGCATCCTTGGTTATCGCCCATGTTTGTGGATTGGTTCATTGATCCAGACCCGCCAGACAGGCAATTTTTACTATCAACAACATTGGTATTATCAAGGCTTATCTACCTGGATTTCATCTATGGACTTATCCTCGGGTCCTCAAGGGAGGCAAGGCACCATCATAAAAGCGACCACAAGATTCTTCGCAGATCTATATCAGTGCTCAGCAGAGGTTTCTTATCAAGCTGCCTGCTCAGCCTGTTCCTCTGTTTTCATCATTGCACTATGGCAAGTGGTCGTCGCACTGGTCGTGGGGGAGGGAAGACAATGGGTGTTATTCAGGCTCCGGGTGACTCTACTCCTCCGCCGAGTACTGAGCATTCTCCTGAGAAGAGTCCGCTGGTCTCCGCGCAAGCGTCGCCAGTGGCTCCTCCGAAAGGCTCTATTGAGAGCGATGTTGCGAAGACCTCTTTGCAGGAGCGCTTATCTGCACTTAAGGTCAACGGGCTGAAGGACAAAGCGGTGGAGAGTGATGTCGTTCTGCCTTCGCAGCCTGGCATGGTGTCGGCAGAAGGCTCGGATCCGGCTCTAGCGGCTCCAGTGGTGTCTGCAAAAGGCAAGCAGGAGGCTGCGGAGGAAGAATGGTGGGACAGTGATGATGAGGATGACTTTGACCCTGTCGCGATTAACGCTCTATCGGCCCAGATCAGTTTCTCGATTACGCTGCTGGTCCCTATCGAGTGGGAAGCGGAGGTTCCTAAGCTGAAAGCCACGGTCGTTGCTCACCTCGATTTCTGGAAGGCGTCGCTGACGGCGGATGCGCAGACAACAACGCAGTATCAGGTTCTGTTGCCCGCGTTTTTGTCGAAGAAGAAGTATCATCGGCTACAGGTCACTTTTCAGCAAGCGCGTGATGCGGAGTTTGCCTGGATGTGGACGATTGAACATGATCTCGGGAAGGGTGCTACTCTCAAGCTCGACTGGCAGCACCCTGAGAACGCGGCCTACAAGCAGGAGCGCAGGCTGAATCCGGGAGCGGTTGAGGTGGTCCTGAAATCGGTACCTGCCGGTGTCTCTCCGGATTTGATTCGCAAGATGCTGACAGAGGTCGTTCTGCTTAAGAAAGGGAAAGCGGCTTTTAACCGTGGTGTTGGTTTTCACAGGGTGCAGGATCCGGTCACTGGAATGGACACGGACAAGGTGCGCGGCTTGGTGATTGAACATGAGGACGATGACTCACCATGGCGACATGCTGTCACGGATCTGTCGAACCCGGGGAGGAAGCTGCTGGTTCACTACTCCGCGCTTACCTGTGAATTCTGCAAGGGTCACCACATGACGCAGTATCATAATGCTTATGTTACCGAGCGTCAAGCCAACATAGGCAAATGGACCCTGACGGTCAGGAAGGTCCATGAGATCAACGGTATCTGCACTGAACAGTTTTCCGCATCGCTCTTACCGTTATGTTTTTTTTCGAGCTCTCACATTGACGGTTTCGCTCGCTCCTCCCCCCGCAGCTGCATCGCTCAAAGTCACAGCGCAACTGAAGGATGTTCTTTAAGACCCCGCGATAGTTCTCACCTCCACAGGGGGGTCGCGGGAGGATTGGGTGTGCGTGATTGCCGCCTGCGACAAGGCCCAGGGCACCAGTTTCGAGCAGGCCTCGAACCACGTTGCGTCGCTGCGCCATCAGACCAACCTATTAAAGCCGGGTACTGCTACGCGCGCCAGCAAAGGAGCCATCAACCTTGCCGCACTCCGAAAGGAGTTCGCGAAGTGATCTGCCAGGGAAGGGGGTCACTCGAGAGAAGGAGCACTTGTTGTTACGCAATCAGTCTTCATTGTAGGTGCCGCTGTGTCTGTGTTACTGCTATGTGGAGTGGTGTCGCGGGAGTTAGAGGTTCATGGTGTAGAAGGTCCAGTTGTTGTACCCAAGCCCGTGGATGCAAAGGGGCCTCTCACCTGTTGTTTAATGGATAAGAGGAACGCGATCACTTTCTGCGAGCTCAACATCAACGGGCTCGGGAGTGCAGGGAAGCAGATCAAGTGTAGAAACTGGTTGCGAGGGAAAACGGATATTGCAGTTCTCATAGACACAAGAGTTAAGGCGGACCATAACTTCTGGACTCAACTCAAACCAGCGGCAGTCGCCGCCGTAGGCCCAGCGGACACAGCAGGTGGGGTGGCGGTGCTGAGTTTCGTACCGGGCATGGTCTTCTCTAACACGTACCTGCATGACTCAGGCAGACTCGTAGCTGTGGTGATCAAGTGGGGTGAGCTGGAACTGCTTCTCATAGCTGCGTACCTGCCGGCACAGCCAGAAAACAGAGCACCTTTTTACAGAGACTGTCTGGGACCGTTTCTGAGCGGCCTTCCGGACCTGAAGAACGTTCTGGTGATGGGGGATTTCAACGTTGTAGAGGATTCAGAGATCGACAAGTCCACTGTCTTGGGTTCAGCGGCGGAAAATCGGCGGCTGATGAGTTTTTGGGCACGCACTCCTCTCACGGACGTTTTCCGCTATGTGCATCCTGGGAAAAGGGAGTACACTTTCCACGCAAAAGGTCAAGGGGTGAGCACCAGAATCGACCGTGCGCTGCTCTCGCAGCCTCTGCTGTGCAAACTAGTGGACGCTCGTCATAAAGCAATAACGAAAAAGATGACTGATCATTGGAATGCGGTAATGGCTGCTCTGGAGTTTTCAACGGCTGGGAAAAAAGGGCTCGGGATCTGGAGACTGAGGGCTGCGCAGGCAAAGACGAAGGGCGTCAGGGAGAGGGTGAAGAAGGTGCTACGTGACACTGGTGGTGACTTGGCAGAAGTACTCCCGAGGTTGTCGTCCTGTCTGAGGGCTTACTCGCGGGAAGAAAGGAAGCGGGTTAAGGAGGTGGAGGTGTTCCGCAGCAGACTGTCACAGAAGCCGAGGTGTCAGCGCACAGGGGCGATTCTGCTCAAGAAGGAAGAGCTGCTGAACGCGTATGAGAAGTACCACATGGAGAACCTGCAGGCGTGGGCTGGTATCAAATCGGAATTAGATGGGGAAGCGACGTCAAGCTTCCTGTCTGGGAAGGTTAAGACACGAAAGGCGAAAACGGAGGTTCACGAGGTTAAGCTTAAGGGGAAAGTTTTTACCGGAGCAAGAGAAATTCTGGTGGCGGCGACGGAGTTTTTTCAAGACTCCTTTGGCGGTGACGACATTTCAGACGGTGGGGTCGTGGAGTCTGAACCGCTGGGCCGTACCATCAGCGAGGCAAGCAAGGAAGCCCTCAGTGCACCGTGGTCAGAGGAGGAGGTGCGGACGGCGGTGCGTGAACTGGCCTCAGGGAAATCACCAGGGCAGGATGGCCTGCCTAAGGAGCTGTTCGAACACAACTGGGACCTGCTGGGCCCGGTCTTGATGCAGTTCGCTACCGACTTCACCCGAACTCTAAAACTTCCCAGCAGCGTCTCAACTGCAGTCACGATCCTGCTGCACAAAAAGGGGAGCAAGGAGGACTTGGGGAATTATAGGCCAATAACACTGCTCAGCACAGTCTACAAAATCTTAGCGAAGGTTCTTGCGACGAGGCTGAAGAAAGTGTTACACGAAGTAATCTCGGAGGACCAGGTCGGCTTCTTACCGGGGCGGAAGCTGGCGGATGCAGTCACGGTTGTAGCAGATGCCATCGAAGCAGGCGTCAGCGGCAGGGAGGACTGGTATTTACTAATGATTGACTTCCGTAAGGCCTTCGACTCCATATCGCGGCCTTTTCTTTTCCGCACGCTGAGAAGAATGGGTATCCCGGAGGAATTTGTCTCCTGGGCGGAGGGACTGCACAGGGAGACAGGCACACGGGTTCACGTGAACGGCTGGACTGGTGATATGGTTGCGGTAAAAAAAGGGGTGCGGCAAGGGTGTCCTTTGGCCCCATTCCTCTTTCTCTGCGCGGTGAAGCCGCTATGTCAGGAGCTGACGAAGTGCAAGCTGGGAATCGGTCGGAGAGGCATCGGCAAACTGGCTTACCTGGGGTATGCAGACGACACGTCGCTGCTTCTGCGAGGTGCGGAGCAGGTGTCGGTAGCGGCAGGAGTCCTGGACGAGTTTGGCGAGAAATCGGGCTTACAAGTAAACCGAGACAAGACGGTGTTGTTTCCCTTGGGGAAGAACAGAGGAAAGCCGCCGCCGCCGGACCTGCAGTATAAGTGGGCTGATAAAGGGGAGCCGGAGCGTCTCTTAGGCGTATGGATAACACCGAACGGAGACCCACTGCCGTCCTGGGAGAAAGCATTGGACAGGGCAAGGAAGGAGTTAGCAAAATGGGAAGTGCAGCATTTGACAACATCTGCGAGGGTCACGATTGTGAATGGTTACATCACACCGATTTTCTTGTTCCAGGCGTATATCTACCCGCCCCCGAAGGAGATTTGGACGAAAATCCAGAGGATCTGCCACAGATTTGTGTCAGGGGGGCAAGCAACGGACGAGAAAGTCTTCATACTTTGGAATTACGAGCTGATGTGCACACCCAGGGAAGAGGGGGGACTGGGACTGATTTGCCCCAAAAAGAGGTTCGACAGCGTGGCGATCCAGAACATCGGGCGGATGATGCTGCAGGACAACCCGGTCAAGAAGTGGTTGACCGAATGCGCAGCCGCGATGCCTCAAGGCGAGGACACGATTTTCACACACAAGTCCCTGATCAAGCACTGGAAGGATGGGAGCAGACGGTGGAAGGAGATGCTGCAGGTTTTCTGGGACTCACCTTTCTGCGTCTCCCCTGAGCCGACAAACCGTTGGGAAGCAGAACGGGAGCGCCTAGCGTTCAATCGGCGAATACCTTTCCGAGGAGCAAGCCCGTTCGGGAATCAGAAGGGCTCAGCCTGCCTCCTGGGGCTGACGATGGGAGACCTGGTGCAGCGGCTGGGGAGCGGCGAGCGGATCCTTAAGACTGAGGAGGCACTGACGAGGGAGCTTGGAAATAAAGACGCGGCGAAGCTGGCGCTGAAGGCCTTCGCAGCAGCGCCGGCTGAGTGGAGGAATCTAATTCTGGAAAAGCTGACGAGTGAGGAGGTGGTCGAGAAGGTTCCGCTGTTGCGCTGCCAGGGCAGGGCTCCTACAAAGCACACGATGTGGAAGGTCAGCGGCACGGACGGAGACAAGGTGGTCGGAAAGCTATGCGTAGATAACGGTGATGGTACGGTCACGGCATGCGAAGGGGACAATCTGTCGCTCAGTTTCAGACTGTAGCGCGGGGAGCCGCTGGCGGTCCAGGGCTCCAGGGTGCTGGGGCCGATGGGCGAGGCGAGGACGCGGCTACTTCAGTCAAAGCTCTGTGTGGAAGGGGATCTGCTGCCGCTGAAAGGAATCAGGAGAACTCTGACTAGCTCGGCTGGCACTGTGAAGGAGCAGAGGAGGTGGGTTGGTGACGGGAGAATTATCGATTCGAAGAGAGTCATCAAGGAGAGAGATTCCCTCGCCACACCCGCCCGGGCAAGAGAAATCATGCTACGACTTCACTGTAGAAATTTACAGGTCGGGGAGCGGCTCTTTTTCATGAGGAACAAGGTGGTTTGTCCACACTGTAAAGGGGAGGAGACACCGGAGCACTGCCTGATTGGCTGCCCGACAATTCAGAAGGTAGTGAAGTTCTTGCGGGAGGGACTGGCTGCTAAGAACCCGCAGCACGGCTGACAAGGGCTCGAGGATATGCTTTTCATGCAGAGGAGCACGCAGTCGGGTTTTCCGGAGAGTTCTTTCATCGCCACTACTCTTCACCAAGTGTGGCTGGCAAGATGTGACGCGATCAACTGGGACATCAGGTTCCAGCCGAAGAAAGTGATGCGCCTGCCGGTGGTCAAATTTGTCGCGCATGCAAGGGTTTAGTGCCTGGCCAAACAGGTGGCTGCAAGCAAGCGGGGCACAGTAGGGAGCAGCAGAGAGTGGGCATTTTTAGACGCTGACGAGGCGGTGGTGATGAAGCGGATTTGCAGCAAAGTGACGCCGCTGACTCACCAGCCACCGTAGAGGTATCACAGGGAATCCGTGTTACCCGGTACCGTGGCACTTCCCTAAGAATACAGTTACGACTGCCAATGCGTTGTACATTTTTCATAGTGTAACATCGCAAAAAAAAAAAAAAAAAAAACCAAGAGGCGACGAAATCGTCTTATGGTTGCGAAGCTGTTTGCCAAAATACATAAACAACTTTTTGTGTACAACTTGTAACACAAAATTAAAACTCTTAATGTACCGGTATGATTTCTTTTCATTATGTGCAACTTCTTATACTGAGAATGAAACTCTCTTCAATAGAGTGGTTGAGTTTTGCAAAAGCGATCAGCACATTTCGAAACCGTAACCTTTTGTTCCGTAATCGGTTTTCCTACAACTGCGCTACCGGCGCTGTCGAAAGGATTGCAAAAAACGTATTAAGAAAATTACAAATTATTCACTGCCTTTGGGTTTGTGTGTCCCTTTTCTTCCTCTCGTCTCTCGCTGGTATGGGTTTCACTCACCCGTTAGTCAAGCTCTACCTACCACACTAAGGTGAGAAATACCTAAGCTATCAGGTAGATCTAAGTTAGATGGATATTAGTGTCAGAGGTCCACTGGTGATCCCCGTTGATCCTAGGGAAGGGTTACAGGCACGTTGGCCTGGGGGGTTATGGGCGCACTCACCCGCTACATAAACAAGCCCTTTTATCCCAGTGGTTAGTGACTGGGATTCTGACATGGTATCAGAGCGAAGGTCTCGGGTTCGATTCCCAGTGTGTGCACTTCGGGCATCCCAGTGCGGGGGGGTGTCAGAGGTCCACTGGAGATCCCCGATGATCCTAGGGAAGGGTTACAGGCACGGCGGCCTGGGGGGTTATGGGCGCACTCACCCGCTATATAAACAAGCCCTTTTATCCCAGTGGTTAGTGACTGGGATTCTGACAATTAGGTGGACTAACATTTCGTATTCTTATATCCTAACCGTTCGAGGGATGCAAGTTGTGGAAGCTTAGGTTCTATGCCCTTTGTGAAGACTTGTATTTCGTTTCTTCTTGCGTCTCTTATGTTCTAATCCAGCATCCGTCTCTTATGTTCTTGATCCTTTCATCCTTTCGTCGGCAACCTTCTCACTACCTCTTATTTGCATATTTTCGTTCCCTTCTTTTCTCTTGCTCGGTTTTATAACCTTCCTACCGTCATCGCCCGGATATAAGACATACATGCATTATCTCGTACACGGGCAAAAATGCTTGGGTTGTCTTGTATTTGGGACGGTTTAGGGTGTCTTATAAGTCTTATAAATGGACAAAGAACCGTTTAGAAGATACCCCTTCGTTGTACGATTACCCCTAACCCCTTCACTGCCTTATCTCGTACACACAAATATGTGTCTTATAATGAGGCTACCCCGTTTATAAGAGACACTCGGATAATAGACACCCGCTGTCTTCTATTCAACACTGTCTTATATCCGGGTGATGACGGTATCCTCCTTTCTGACATGGTGTCATTGTTTAAGGCCTTTTTTTTTGTCGGTCCGTTCATTGTCTTATCTCATTGCGTTTCTTTCCCTTCGTGTTTCTCCCCCTATTCTCTCTCTCCCCCCCCCCCTCCCCCCCCTCCCCTTTTCCCTCCTCCCTGTCTCTGAATGCCGTTGTTTTTCCATCAGACCATTCACAAGATAGTGCTGGAATGTGTGATAGCAAGTACTGTATTGTGCACGAAAGGTATGTTCTATCTAACATGCCGTTCTCTTCCCCACCTCTCCTATTCCTTCATCTATTGCTATATTTGTCAGAATCCCAGTCACTAACCACTGGGATAAAAGGGCTTGTTTATATAGCGGGTGAGTGCGCCCATAACCCCCCAGGCCGACGTGCCTGTAACCCTTCCCTAGGATCATCGGGGATCCCCAGTGGACCTCTGACACCCCCCCGCACTGGGATGCCCGAAGTGCACACACCGGGAATCGAACCCGAGACCTTCGCTCTGATACCATGTCAGAATCCCAGCCACTAACCACTGGGATAAAAGGGCTTGTTTGTGTAGCGGGTGAGTGCGCCCATAACCCCCCAGGCCGACGTGCCTGTAACCCTTCCCTAGGATCATCGGGGATCCCCAGTGGACCTCTGACAATATTATCTCGTCCCATGAATCATACTTTTTCGTTTGTTTCCTGTTTGTACCGTACAATTCTTTTAATCGTATTACTAGTGTGTTTTTACATCTTGTTTCTTGTCTCCTCAAATTTCGTCTTTGTTTCATGTCATCTTCTTTTGTCTTCGAACCAGCCTTCTCTCTCTTCGTATGAATGGTCTCATTTTCTCCTACCATTCGTTTTACCTTTAGATCTATACTTGCACATGCTTAGTGTTCCTTGTTTACGCCCTCTTTTTGCCCTCTTTTCGTTGTCGTATGTGTTAGCTGTCAAAATGCTAGGCCAAAACGAGAAACAGGCAAGAAGGGTTTTGACTAACAAGCATAGGGATACATATATGCAAACCCTAGAAGGGCTGTACTCGCTATAGAGTACCCCACTGCAGGCTAGACAACCATCACATTCTGACACACCCCCATAGTCAAAGTGGGGTACAATCAACATAACAAGCAGACAGAGCAATAGTTCACAATTATAAGCAAAGCTAGAGGCTATCACAGAGGGCAAGTGAGGAGGAGGAGAAACTGTGGGAGCAAGAAGATGAGAGGCGACGGCTGAAGCTGCAGACACACAGGCAGCAGGAGTACGCCGCACTGACGCTACCAGGCTAAACCCGGACTACACGGCGACAGGGGGTCGCAGCTGGCTCGCTGTGCTCCCAGGAGTGCACACACTGTGGCTACCAGGCGCAGAGCCCCGGACTACTCAGGCCACAGGGGGTCGTGGCTCCCTGGACTTCAGGCGCTGCGGACGACAAGTCGACGGCCTCCTCTCAACTTCCCCCAGCTGTCCCACCCCCTTTTTACACACCCCCTGCTGTTCCCCTAGCACCGCTCACACTACACCCCCTAGCGCCACTCCCTCGGCTCCCACACACCCACCCCCCTCAGCGGCAGCTGCAGCAGTGGGAGACGGAGAAGGAGGAGGAGGAGGGGAACGGCACTCAGTGGCTTCACCCCCATACCCCTCACCCCCAAACCCTAATTCAGGAGAACGGGCTGTAGGAGGGGTGGGGCGCCAGTAGAAGCACGGGGGACAGTGGGGAGGGCAGGGGCAGCGAGGAACGGGCCGCCCACGGGCCTGGCATAGCCGCCCGAACCGCGCGCAGGCGGCCCGAGCCGCGCGCGGGCCTGGCGCTTCCCGTACGGGCCGCGCGCGGGCCTGGCGCAGCCCGTACGGGCCGCGCGCCGGCTGTACGGGCCGCGCGCAGGCCACGACGGGCGACGGGGGGCGACGCGCGGGTCCCCGTCGCCCGTCGCAGCGCCTCCCGGGGGCGACGCGCCGAGTGACGGGGCAGAAAACCGCCGCGCGCCCCGGGCGCGCGGCGGGAAGAAAAAATCGCTGCGCGCCCGGAGCGCGCGGCAGGCAGGAAACAGCAGGAAACAACAGCGGAAGCTTCTGGTGGGACCACCCACAGGATCGACCCAGGAGGGTCGACCCGCTCTGGAAGCATGTCAAAATGCTAGGCCAAAACGAGAAACAGGCAAGAAGGGTTTTGACTAACAAGCATAGGGATACATATATGCAAACCCTAGAAGGGCTGTACTCGCTATAGAGTACCCCACTGCAGGCTAGACAACCATCACATTCTGACATTAGCTTTTTTATATTGTCTTTTCTCAACATTTACTGTCTTCCCTCCATTCGTCCTTACTCCTTTCATTCGTCACCTTGTTTTTCTTCCACCTTCAATTTGTTTGTTAGTTCTTTCGTTACTCGTTCCGTCCTTTCAACACACCTCATTATTATATATGTTTTGCTGTATGTTTCCTTCCGTTTTTCCTTTCCACTCCCTAGTTTCATTTTTCAATCCGTTTTTTTCATTTTGTGTTCTTCTTTCTTCTTATTTATTTTGTACGATGACCTCCAATTTCCCTGCCTTTGTCCTTCTTCTGCCCCTTCTGCCCGGTTCCTTTCCCCTACCACTTCTCTCCCCAACCTTTCCCCCCCCCCCCCCCCCCCCCCCCCCCCCCCCCCCCCCCTCCCTTCCCCCTTTTCCCCCCCAGAGTCTTTGCTGTACCATTCGAAAATTCAAGGTTAATGTGGAAAGTAGAAAGTTTCTTGTTTGTATGATTGATGCTACTGTATTGTTATG